GGATACATGTGCCCTGAGGTTTATAGCAGCATTATCTACAATAGCCAGCTTATGGAAACAGACCAAGTGTCCATTGATAAAGAAGATGTGTGTGTGTGTGTGTGTGTGTGTGTGTGTGTAATGGACTATTACTCAGCAATTAAAAAGAATGAAATCCTGTCATTTGCAATGACATGGATGGAGCTAGAGAGTATTATGCTAAGTGAAATTAGTTAGAGAAAGACAGATACTGTATGCTTTCACTCATACGTGGAAACAAAACAAAAGAAACAAAACAAACCAGTAAAGGGGGGAAAAATGAGAGGCAAACCAAACAACAGACTCTTAACCAGAGAACAAACTGGGGGTTACCAGAGGGGAGGTGGGTGGGGGACGGGCAAACTAAGCGATGGGGATTAAGGAGGGCACTTGTGATGAGCACTGGGCGATGTATGGAAGTGTTGAATCGCTATATTGTACACCTAGAACTAATATCACACTGTATGTTGACTAGCTGGAATTTAAAAATTAAAAAAAGAGTGAGGTACATACTTGAGATTTTCCTTTAGGGAATATCTGTTGGTAGTATACTCTATTATCGTTTTCCTGAATGCCTTCTTAAAAGGTAGTTTTGTAGGATTCATAATCTCTGTTGTCTAGGCACACTGAAGAGAGTCTTGTGGTTCCTTTCCTGCTGTGGGGATGTCTGCTGGCAATCTGTGGTTTGTTTATTTATTTATTGTGAGTGTGTGTGAGTGAGAGAGCACAAGCATGAGTGGAGGGGCAGATGGAGAGGGGAGAGAGAATCCCAAGGAGGCTCCATGCTCAACGCGGGGCTTGATTCCACAACCCCCTGATTGCAACCGCGGCCAAAATCAAGAGTTGGATGCTCAACTGACTGAGCCACCCAAAGCGCCCCTTGCTGTGGTATCTTGATGGTGTTGTAGGCTGTCTGGGCTGTTTCTCTGGCTGCTTTAAAGAGTTTCTGTTTATTTTTGGTGTTCTGAAGCTTCACAATCATGTATCGAGGTAAGGATTATTTGAGTGTTTCCACCTTGGTTGTACATGTGTGCACCTTATAATGGCAAATACTCTGTGTGAGGGTTCATGCCTTTAATGAGTTCCAGACAGTCTCAGCTGTTATCTCTTTAGATGTGGTTTTTCCTTCATATTTCTGTTCTCTCCCTCTGAGACTTTAACCTGTTATGTTAGACCTTCTTATTCTAGCCTCCATTATCCATAGCCTTGTTTTCGTATGTATGTGTGTGTACATATGTATATATTTAAAGATTCTCTTGAGAGAGAGTGAGTGCATGTGAGTGCACACACACAGGGAGAGGGAGGAGCAGGCTCTCTGTTAAGCAGGGAGCCTGACTTGGGGCTCGATCCCAGGACCCTAGGATCATGACCTGAGCCAGAGGCAGACGCCTGACTGACTGAGCCACCCAGGCACCCCCATATATATGTATATTTTATTTCCTTATTTCTTTCTGCAGCAAATTTAGTAACTTCTTCAATCTGCCTTATGGTTTGTTGATCCTCTCTTAATCTATGTCTGAAATGCTACTTACCCCAAACATTCAGTTTATCATTTTAATAATTATAGTTTTTATTTCCAAGAGCTCTATTTGGTTCTTCTTCACATCTACTTATCATATTTGCTTATTAAAATACTTATTTTTTTTTTGAACAGAAAATAAGTGTTGGTGGAGAATGTGGGGAAATTGGAACCCTTGTGCACTGTTGGTGGGAATATGAAATGGTGAGATCCTTATGGAAAACAGTAAAAAATTAAAAACAGATACCATATGATACAGCAATTCTACTTCTGGATATACATCCCAAAGAATCGAAAGCAGGATCTTGAAGAGAGATCTGTAGACCCATGCTCATGGCAGCATTATTCACAATAGCCTAAAGGTAGAAGCAACCCAGATGTCTGTTGATGGATGAATGGATAAACAAAATGTGGTATAAATAATGGAATATTATTCAGCTTTAAAAAGGAAAGAAAATCTGACGCAGGCTACAACCATGGATAAACCATGAAGACACTCTGCTAGGTGAAATAAGCCAGGCACAGAAAGGCAAATACTACATGATTCCACTGACATGAGGTACCTAGAACAGTCAGCTTGATAGAGACAGAAGGTAGGCAGGTGGCTTCCAAGTATTCAGGGGCAGAAGAAATGGGGAGTTATTGTTTAATGGGTACAGAGTTCTGGAAAGGAAAAAACAGTTTTGAGATGGATGGTGGTAATGGTTGCACAGCAATGTGAATGTATTTAACACCATTGAACCGTATACTTACAAATGGTTGATACTAAATTTTATGGTTTTTTTTTTAAAAAAAGATTTTATTTATTTATTTGACAGAGAGAGCACAAGTAGGCAGAGAGACAGGCAGAGAGAGAGGGGGAAGCAGGCTCCCTGCTGAGCAGAGAGCCCCATGTGAGGCTCGGTCCCAGGACCCTGAGATCATAACCTGAGCTGAAGGCAGAGGCTTAACCCACTGAGCCACCCAGGTACCCCTCATCTGGGTTTTAAATTAAAAGTATTTAAAAGTATCTTAAAATGTGGAAAAGATACCCATTTTAAATTTCTTTAAAGATGCGTAAATTATTGGTGGTCCTATAGTGTGGTAGTTTCTAGCATGAACATTGGAGTCAGAATACTCATATTCACCTTTCCCATATGTAACCTCAGGCAAGATACTTAGCCTCATTGAGTCTTACTTTCTTACCCCTAAAATGGGGATGGGATATGAATGGCATTGATTTCATACGTTTGTGTGAGTCTTTTATTTTTTTTTTTAAAGATTTTTAAAATTTGTTTATTTGACAGAGACCACAAGTAGGCAGAGAGGCAGGCAGAGAGAGAGGGGGAAGCAGGCTCCCCGCTGAGCAGAGAGCCCGATGTGGGGCACGATCCCAGGACCCTGAGATCACGACTTGAGCCAAAGGCAGAGGCTTTAACCCACTGAGCCACCCAGGCGCCCCTGTTTGTGTGAGTCTTAAATGCTCAGTACGCAATGAAGCACTTAGAATAGTGTCTGGCAGGTAGAAGTATTCTACCGTATCACTTTTTCTTATAATCTGATAATTCTAACATCTAAGGTCCTTGAGGTTTTAAATTTGTTATTTTTGATGATTCCCACTCCCGAGGTTTTCTTTTTAAAAAATCTTGGCTGGGGGTGCCTGGGTGGCTCAGTGGGTTAAGCCTCTGCCTTCGGTTCAGGTCATGATCCCAGGGTCCTGGGATCGAGCCTCGCATCGGGCTCCCCACTCAGGGAGCCTGCTTCCCCCTCTCCCTCTGCCTGCCTCTCTGCCTACTTGTGATCTCTCTCTGTCAAATAAATAAATAAAATCTTGAAAAAAAAATAAAAAAAAATAAAAAATCTTGGCTGATCTTTGATGGTGAGCACTGGGTCTGGGTTTAGTTCCGATCTCAGCTTTCATATAGGTCTTGGTCCCTTGGACAAGATATCTGTTGCTCCCAGATATCTATCTTTGTTTCAGCTCATGATTCTGATAGCTTTGTTTGGTTGATTGTTTTTTTTTTTCGTCTTTGAGGATTTCTGTTATTTTCTGAGAACCTAGTAAAGCATTGTCAAGTATATTTAGGATCTGACCAAGTATATTCAGGATTTAGGCCTCATAATACCCAGGCCCCCCTACAGTGGCCCGAGAAGTCCATGGGGCTTAATTCTCTGACCATTTGAGTATAGGACTTGTGCTTATGTCCCTAGAACCCCACTTAGGGACCACCTCAGACTTTACAGGTGATAATTTTTTTTTTTTTTTTTTTTTTTTTTTTTTTTTTTTTAAAGAATGAAAGCAACCGGCCTGGACTCTCTAGGTAGAAGTAAGGACTCAAAGGTACAGTATCTTCTTCCCAGCCACTGGGGGAACCATGATTTACTGTCAGTCTTGAGTACCTAAATCCTCCCTCTCCCAAGTCATAGGTGTTCTCTCTGGTCTTTGGGTCTCTTTTTCATTGTTTGAGAATCCGTGGTCTCCCCAAGACCTTTTCATACTCAGACTCAAGAATGATGCAATAGTCCTAGCTCAGTTCTTAGCATGCAGCCCAGTCCGCCTGTGTCAAGGACTTCACACACCTGTTTAATAGCAGCAGCCATAGAGCTAACAGTCGTAACAGTAAGTAATAGTAGTTGTACCAATAGCAGGACAGTGCATTTTAAATTACAACTTGTTTCTTGCTCTGTTGGGCCTGGGGATGGGTGGAGGAGAGGGCTGGTGTAGACTCTTTCCTCCCTCTAGTCCAATCCTTGGTGATCTGGGTTCTCATTGGAGAGTCTGCTTCCATTCAGCAAGGTGGGAAAGTTTCTTTTGTGCTTAGCAATGCCTCTGAGACCTTGGCCAGAAGGCTGGTCTGTCCAGTGGGCTGTGTCTTTCTCCCAGGGACATCAGGAGCCCCAGGGGTGGCAGAGCTGGGGCTGCTGACTTCCTTCTGGGTGCCTTTGGGCTGTGAGGTCTTTTACAAGAATGGAGGCCCTTTGCTGCACCAAGAAATGTTGAGGCTGTGGGCAGAGTGGTGTGCCCCTGGGGGCTCTTGCTCCGTCTGACTTCTGGGATCCCCAGGTGGGCAGGACAGGGGGAGGCTGTTTCCAGGAGAATGGAGGGGCAGCAGCATCATGACTCCGACTATGATAAGAGACCAACAAAGACATGATTTGGAACTGGACAAGGTGGTGATGTGTGTGGAATTAGCCTGCCTTTTTTGAAGCTCTTTTCTCCTCTCTCCTCTAGGGAATTTTTTTGAGCCTTTCCACCCTCCTCCTTAATGGAGTCTGTTCCTGGGAAACTCTCAGCCAGAGAATAGAGAATGATAAAGCTGGGTGTATTCTATACCCTAAGGCGTTTGCATTCATTTGGAATCTCAGACTAAGAAATTTCAGCTCTTCTGGTGGAATTGCAGGTTTTCCCTGGTGGGGAAGATGATTTAGGATGTCAGGGGTCATCTCAGAGCCATTTAAGTCAAACTAAAGATAGTTTGTACCTTTAAGGTGGAGGAAGGGGGCGGCGCAACAGGCTCACCTTCCGGACATTGTAGATCCAGTTGAGATAGGCTGTGACCTTGGTGTATACTCCTGGGGTGCTGGGGCCCCCACAGCCGTGGCCCCAGCTCACGATGCCCACCACTTGCCACTGGTCAGAGTGATACATCAGGGGCCCACCGCTGTCACCCTGTGAAACATCAGAACAGGAGTTGCTGGGGAGGGCAAGCAGGGGCGGGGTGGAGGAGTGGGCTTCTCTTTCTTCCCCTCCTTGCATTGGCCCATCTGTTCCTCTGTGCTCCCCCAACTGCTCGCCAGTGTTCTCTGCTGTTCTGCCCTCATTGCCTCTGCTCATGCTGTTCCTGCAGCCTGTAAGGCCCTTCTATTTGAGGCAAAAGGGTTCTTTTTGTGGTCAAGTATGTTGTTGGTGTTGCCTTCTCTCAGATTCACAAGGCACACTAGCAAACTCAGGGCTCTAAGGGGTTCCTCAGTGAGAAGCCTGATTATCTTTGTTTAATCCGGTACTTCCTAAATTTATTTAGCTGCTCATGGGTTGTCTTTTGCATGCCAGGTACCATTCTAGACAACTGGGATTCAATCAATGAAAGGAACGAAGATCCTGCCCTCAGGGAGCTTAGAGTTAGATGGAGAAGAGAGAGAGAATAAACAAGCAAACAACTCAACAGATCAGAGCATGTCAGATAGTGAAAATTGCACTACTTTGGGTGTCTGTCCCAGCTCCTACAGCCCCTGAGACTTCCTCCCTCAGAACCCAGTAACACCAAAGCCTAACTGCCCCTCTTGCCCACCACTGTGAACTCCCTGAGGGCAGAAGACACTGTCCTCAAAACCCAGTATTCACCTGGCATTCAAGTGATGGCCAAGAGCTACCTCTTGAGTGGAGGAATTTAATGACTGAGAATGGGGTCAGAGTGAGGTTAAGGGCTTTAGTGAAAATGGCTCTGAAGAACCTCTGGGGATGGAGGGAGTGAAAATGTATTTAGGGACTAAAGGGGTTTGGGGGCGGGGGAGGCATTGTTCCAGGGCTCATCCAGCAGGAGATGGGTTTTCTCTAGTCTAGTGCAGCATCTTGACAGTTCTAGAGAAAACAGACCTGGCCTTCCTGCCCTCACATGACTCCTACTCCTGTGGGTGATGGGAGGTAAGAGCAGGTGGGTTGACGAACCACCTTTGTAGGTGAAATACACACCTGAAATCTTTCTGCTCGTCTCTGTCCATCCTTTCTTCCTTATCTGACTGTAATCCTTCTTTCCCTCCCTCTCTCTGCTCTTCCCTTCATCATGACTGAGTGCCCGCTGTATGCAGGACTTCATATGGGGCTGTTGGCCTCTGGACTTACTTGTTTTTCCAGGACTAAAATCTCTATCCAAGGAACTCCCTCATGATCCCACCTGGCAGGTGTCCACGCCGCCCTCCAGGATGCCGGCACACAGCATCTGCTCAGTAACTTCCCCTTGGTAGGCGTCCTCTGCGTTGCACCGAGTATGGTTAATGACCTGGACCGAGGCCTGCAGCAGTGTGTCAGACAGCTTTCCTGGGAAGGTGAAAACACATGCGTATTCCCATTCTTGCCTCTCACCCCCACCCAGGACAATTCTCTGGGTTACCTGGCATCTCAGTGCTTGGATTTCCAGGATGGGTTTTTTCCCCCAGGGTGGTCCTCCTTCCCATCACCTCCAGGAGCTGCTCCCTCAGCCCTGTGTTCCTGAGCCCAGGACTTACCTCCATCTTGCTTCGTAAAGCCCCATCCGATGACCCAGAGCGGGGTGGCTGGAGTGAGCTCCTCATCAAAAAAGGGCAGGCAGATGGGCCTGACTGTGCCTGCCGGGAGCAGAGAGAAAGGGGGGAGAGCCTGGTGGCTAAGTGCTCTGGAAAGGTTGACACCAGGGTTTCTATGACCTGTATTCCAGGGGATGTTAACAGAAGTGGCATGAGAAAGTTCTGTGGTCAAATAAGTTGAAGTATAGTTTAAACATAATACAGGCAAATTAAAAATTAAAGGCCTTATTATATCTTTATATGCTAATGTGCCCCAAGAAAAGAGCTCTACTATAAAAATGTTTCCCAAATTTAGAATAGAACCCGTTTTTTCTCCAAGGGACCAGTGTCCTGTGGAACTGACAGTTGCAAATGCTGAGAAATACTATCCCAGCATGAGTCATCTAACAGAGCTGTTCAAAGATTCCATGGGCTGCTTTAAAGGTAATGAGTTCTCTGCCTGTGGAGGAGACCAGGTGGGCGCAGTAACCCCTTGGCAGAGATATGGTGCAGGCTCTTGGCACTCGTTGAGGGTAGAGGATGGACTAGAAGATCTTTTAGTTCCCTTACAGCCCCAAGATTGGATGAGTCTATGATTCTCACTTGAGATGCTCCACGTGGATAAAACAGACCTCAAAAGAACCCAGCTTGGGTGGGGCGGGCTGTGAGCTGACAACTGAAAGGGTTCTCATGGCCCCTTGCTGATGTTAGGCTGGTGTATTCACCAGAAACAAATGTATAGCTGAGGGCTTGAGAGGAGAAGCAGTGTGCCCAAGGCCACATAATGAGCTAATAGCAGAAGGGGAGTATAACCTGGCCTAAGGGGTCTTGTTCCCACATGCCCTCTCACCGGAGAATGTGAGTGGGAACTGCAGCTTCACGAGGGCAATGTCCTTCTCTTTTGGGTACGTGGTGTTCAGCTCAATGATGAAGATGCTGGCCACAGGCAGGGATGGGAAGTTGCCCAGTTTGTCTGAGCCAGCCCTTACCTTCCAGGTGGACACATCGTGATGCTTCCTGGGGGGGGGGGCAGAGACAGCGGGGTTCAGGCCTGAACCAAGCCTGTGCAGTCTTTGCCCACAGCTGGGTTCCCAGGGTGCTAGGGGTTGGGGTGCTGAATGTCCCTGCTATAGGGGGTTATGATGGTGAGGCCAGGGGTGGTAGAGAAGGAGCAGGTCTGAGGAATCCCTTACAAAAGGACAAATTCTAAAAGGGAATTTGATCCTTTCCCCTGGTGAAACCTGCTCAAGGAAACTTCTAACTGGAGGGCCAGGGAAAGGGCTGTTCCCGGCACCTGAGCTCTGGGGTCCTGGTACTTTCCTGCCCCTGGTACTGTTCTGTGCTACTCAAGTGGCACTTGTATTGTCAGTTTCGTTATGCACTTGTCTGTCTTCCTCCTGACACTCCTCCCTGCATAGTGTGCATGGGTGGTTTCCCAGGAAAGGACTTAGAGCTTTGTCAGATCTCAAAGGTTAAGAATCTCTGGCCTACACTCTGAATTCCTCTAAGGCGCTGACAGAGCTAATGCATACGGATACATAATATAGTACTCATTAGATATTGAATGAATGAATGAATGAAAGAAGGAAAGTGAAGAGGGCCTGGGAGTAGTCCTTCCCCAGAGGTATGGGCAGGCCTCTCTCTGCTGGCTTGTAAAGGAATCTATGCTTTCTGCTTTAAGTTTTTGGGTATAATGGGGGAGTGGCAGTGACTCTCAACCCCAGAACCACTCCAGAGAAGACTGGCAGAAGGAGCGCATTCTCAGGACTCCAGGAAGATGGATGGGAAGAGCTTCTGTGGAGTGAGTAGGGGCTGGACTGAGGACTCTGGGTATCTGATTGCTTCCCAACTAGAAGAGGTCAAGCTTGGTGATCAAGCTTGGCGACCAGCGCCTTCTTCTCAGACCCTGGGTGGCTAACAAAGGATGTCGTGTTCAGTGTCTCATTGGGGGTGGCCACACCCAAGGACGTGTTCTGTAGAGGGAGGGGAAAGAGAGGATAGGGGTTTGGAACACAGGCTGGGAGGCAGGGAACCCCGATACTTAGGCCCCTCCAAGGCTTTGAGCCCCCAAGGCTTCCTTGTGGTGCAGCCTTACCTGAAACAGTGGGCTGCCGTGAGGATCCAGTAGGGGTCCAGAATGCTCCCTCCACAGATGTGTTGTTTGTTGTACTGGATGCTGACCTGCCAAGGCCAGGAATCCACAGAGGCCGTCTCCCCGCCCACTACCCGAGGGGCCTTCAGGCTGTCCCCACAGGCTGGAGTCAGCAGGGAGGGGGGAGAAATCAGGAGTTAGGCTCTTGAGGGATGGACTGCCTCCCCATGGAGCCCTGAGTCAGTTCCCTTAGATCAGGGCCCTTATGACTGGGACCTGGAGGGTTGGGGAGGACTGCCCATTTTGAGTTATTCCTAGGGAGCTGGTGTCCCAGACCATAGACTTTTTCCCAATCTCCGTCTCCTTTGCTGGGCTTTGGATGTGTTTATATTGTGAACATGGGTGTGTCCATTGTGCTGGGAATTCATGGCCTTCAAACCAAACAGGTGATAGAGAATTACAAAAGTCCTGCCCAGGTGCAGTGTCCCAGCTGCTCCTGTGGAGTATTGGCAAGCAGACACCCACAAACTGCTCTGGGAGCCGGGACTGGGAAGAACATTCCAGATACTAGATCTTCCTATCCTAAACTCACCTTTCTCCAAGTCCCTTCCCCTGTGATGAGTAAGTCTCCCAATTTGACATCCTATGCTCTTTCATATGCCACTGTCCTTGGCTTTTCCATCATGGCCCTCAAGCTCTGGTAAAAGCCTCCATTCCCATCTCCCTGCCCTCCAGTCTCTCCAGTCCTGGTGGTCACGGCCACAGTGGTGGTTCTCTTAGGAAAAGGCTGCCATCCTTTCTGGGCCTATGCCAGGCAGGGGCTTTTCAGATACTTGTTATTCCAAAATCTGCTTTCTCCGTGTCTCCTTGCTCCCTCACAGCCCCGAGGCATCTTTATTTCTAGAGCAGAGTTTAAAGTCCTTCTGGAAGCTGCCCACTGTCCTTGTCTGAAGTTTCCGTCTAGCCAAATCGATCTGTTTGTGTAGCTCCCTAAAAAGTTGTTCTTCTTTTGCTTGAGGAAGCCCCCATCCCTGAGATGCTGTCCTATTGCTATTTATCTAAACCATTGATCCATTCAGCAAATTTGAATTAAGTGCCTACTGTGTTCAGGGACGCTGGGAAGAGAGTGGAGGACAAGACAGACAGACAGACAGACGTGGTCCTTCCCTTCTGGGAGCCTACAGCTCAGTGTTTAGCCTGGGTACCACCCCCTGGGGGCCGCCCAATCCCTGGAGAGCCCCCCCCCTTCTTGGAATTTCCATAGCCTGCTCCCAGTGTTGGCCTGTCTTTCATTTCCTTTGTGCTTTGGTCTTCCTGTTAAGACTGACAGCTCCTCAAGGGAAGATCTGTGACTTCAACCTCCCTGCGACATCATGGCCATTCAGCTCAGAGCACAGATGATGTGACTAATGGTTCAGTCATTTACTAGCTAGCCACCACGTGTCCGTCCCCACACACCAGGGATTGTGGGCATCACGATAGAACGTCTTAACATCCAACAGGGAAGCCTATATACTACCCAACGGCAAAGGCAGTGACAGTGGCCTTGTTCCACTCCACCTATCCAGTATCCGGCCAGCCTGGCAGGCTCTGTTCAGTTCTTCCACAAGTCTGGGAGGACAAGCTGGGTCACAGAGCTTGTTTTCTCTTCTGTTCTCTGTAAGGATCTTCTGGGGCAGTTGGATAAAAGGCTTTCTTGGGAAGAGGAACCTCAGAAGGGTCAGGTGAATTACTCAGGGTCACACTGGAAGCCAGTGGGACTGGTGCCTGGGTCTCTCTGTGGCAGTCAGCTATGAGTGCTGTTCAGTCTGGCACCTCCCACCTATGGCCTGTGTCTTTCTCTCTCTCTCTGTTCTCTCTCTCTGTTATAAACTCCTGAGGAGAATGGCCAATTCTTTGACTTACCTGTGTGCCTGATAGTGCTAGTGTGCCTGATAGTGCTAGACACAGTCTGTTTTTGCTAAACTAAATGACACTGTGATGGAGGAGGCCTTGAGGGCCTGACCAGGGTGGGAGGGCATGGAGGCCCAGTTCTATCCTTTCCAGTTTTCTCTTCCCTGCTAGCTCTTTGCTTTGGTTGTGGGGTTGTGTGTGGATGATACTAAAGAGTTCTTAATGTCCCCACTTGAAGGAGCATTGCCCTACAAACCCAAGGCCCAAGGAAGTAAGTTTGGGACAAAACAGAGATAAACTTAGAGTCTGAGAGATTTAAGAATGAAGATGAAGGTCTTTCTCCCCACTCTTTGCTGGCCCAGGGCCCAAACCCTCAGAGATGGGGCGTACTCACCAAGGCAGTGCAGGGAGACCAGGGAGCTTGAGAGACAGGGTCTGGAAGGGAGACACAGGGCCTTGAGGTTTCTGTGGGAGGTGCGGACTTCGGTCCCCTGACCCTGTTGACCCCAGTCCCCTTCCCGCACCTGGGAAATCTGGAATCCACATGCTGAGGGACTATATAGAAACCACACGACCATTTAGTTCAATGCAATTCAGTTGGTTTGGGTTCAAGATCCTTGATGTTAAGGACTCACAATGTGCTGGGCCCTGCCTGCGTCCGAGCCCAACCCAAGCCCTTGGCATCCTGGAGTGGAGGAGAGCAGAACCTGTAACAGTGTCTGTTACGCTGTGCGCTTTTCAAGTGAACGAAAAGGGGGATTTCAGTGGAATTACAGGCACATGATCCTTCTGCTACCATCTTGGTTCTTTTTAAGATTTACTCTCTGGAGAATGAGCAGCCCTCAGCAGCATCCCCGAATGCTGGGGAGCCAGCATCCTCTCTGGTACTCTCTGCTGCCATGTGACCATTTTTCTCTAGATGCTGAGCTCTCATGTGGGGTGGGGAGGCAGAGGAACAGGCCACTGCCAGAGGCTGTGGGGCCTTTTCTCTGGAGAGCTGGGAACGTGGAGAGGTCTTACCCTGGCCTGGGTAAGTGGCTGGGATGGACAAAGTGGCCTTTGGAATCTTGCCTGTTGGGTTTAATTGGGAGCGTAAAGCAGTAGGAAAATTTATCGTTTTATTCTTGGATGAAAAGGCCACCAATATGTAGACACCATACCTTGTCCAGCTGTCTGTTTTATATGAAAAATGGAGTCAACCCAGAAAACCTCTCAGAAATCTGGTTCTCTAGCTCTTGGTATCTGACAGTCTGCATGGCCTGGAGTTCTTCCTGTGGTCTGACTTATATTCCTCTTGCTGCACCTGCTTGGGGTGGCTGCCTACAGCCCCGATGGCAGCCTCCATATGTGAGCCTCTCGTGGGCCAGGGGGCATCCTCCCACTTACCCACTTTGGTTTTGCACCTGAAGCTCTTGGCCATTTTCTGTGATTCCAACAACATCCAGATCTTGGTCTGGGCCAATTTCCACAGCTTTGAAGGTGGGTTTGCTGCTCACATTGGGAGAGAGAGAGAGATGTGAGCTAGGGCAGGAAGTTAGAAGATGTTGGGAGTAGCCCCCACTCCCAGGAGCTGCGATGGGAAAGAATGTGTCCCAGGACTCAGATCTGGGCACAATGCTGATGTGGTCTTGCTTTCCCAGAGCTCTGGACAAGTTGTGGACGTGCTTTCCTAACTCCCACCTGTAGCCCTATTTCAAATGTCCTAGGATATTTTCTCCTGAATCATAGCCAGGGAATTAGAATGTGGATATCTGGTTTTCCGAACAAGGCATCTGGGCTGAATTGGGTAGTGGGGGTACTTTATGGCTCCCTTGGAGGTAGGACAGGATGAGATCAATCTTCACATGAGTCCGGAAGAGTCTCTCCCTTGGAGCACCCTCCCTCTTTCTCTCCACTGATCCATGTTTGTCTAATTTCAAACCTTGGGTTTAAGTTTTAGCTCCTCTAGGAAGTCTCCCCCGAGTCATCCCGTTGTCCTGATCATCTGTTCTTCCCCATCCAGCTATGCTAGTGCTGGCTCTGGGTGCAGGGTTCAGGATGACTGAGGCATGGGGTTACTGGCCACTGATGCTCTCACATTCCCGGGCAGGAGTTGTGCACACCTGGTGGGCCCAGGTACACCTGGAAAGGCCTGGGTGTGGCAGTACTGGGTTTCAGAACCCTGGAGATGGAGGCTCTTGTCCTGCCTCTGACATTAGCTTGATGTGTAACCTTGACAGGTCACACCCTTCCCTGGGTTTCCTTAAGCCTCACTTTCTCCCTCTGTAGAATGAGAGGTGGACCCCCTGATCTCTAGAGCCTCTCCCATCTTGAGCCATCTCAGGTTTATGGTCCTGGGACAAAAAGGGCTTCTTATCTAGGTGGAGGAAGGAGAGAGGAGAGAAATCTGAGACCTGGAAGGAGGGACAGTGGTGGAAACGGATAGTCCCTGGAAAGCTAAGCTGTGTTCACCCATTACATCCTAATGAATAATTCTGACCGGCTTTGATTCTGTAGAACTCAAGAAGCCAGCTGGTTTGGTGCATTAGTGCACTCTAGAAGAGCAGAAACGTTAGCATCCTATTACCTTAAGAAGCCCGGGAGACAGCCGGGTTGCATAAGGCAGCTGCAGCCCGCAGTGCTGCCCATGGTGCTGCCCGTGGCGCTGGGCCCTGCTGATGCTGCAGTGGCTGGACTGCAGTGAGGAGGAGGGGCTTGCTGCAGGGGAGGCCTGGCTGCTGCTGGAGGAGGGGTAAGAGCAGGGGCCAGGCATAAGCAGCCCAGCTGTGCCACATGGAGAGTGTTGAGCAGCAGAGAGGCCTGATAACCAGAGAGCACAGGGGGCCACAAGGTCTGATGGATCAGTAATGCTGCCAGGAGCGTTTACTGAAAAAGGACCTGGAGGCTGCTTTAGGGATGGACGGAAGAGAGTTCCGTGATTGACTGACGGTGTCTGCCTAGCAGTTCTCATTTCTGCCTAGACCAGTTTCCTAGAGTCCTTGGGGACCTGCCCCACTTCGCAGCTGAATAAATGGGTTCTTTTCCCTCCTCTCTGGTTATGCTCTCTGAGTGGTCAGTGGCCTCGCCTCTCCTCCCTTTATAGGGAAGGCCTGGGGGGAGGAGAGAATTACCCAAGCTGGAAACAGAGACGCTGCGAGAACTCCTGATACCCAGGAATCAAGGGGGCTTGGGCACAGCCCCCAAGCCTCTCCCTCCCCAGCTCCTACCAGGCGAGTTACTTATCTTTCCTGAACCTGTTTCTAAAATAGATACAGTAGTAACGACCCTTTTGGTTTTTGCCAAGATCAAATGAATATAAACGCATCAAGCAGATCACTCTTATGATTACATAACTCTTCACCCACTGAAGCTTTGGAGCTGCTGTAGAAATTTGCTGGCAGAGCTGTGATTGCCGATGGGGCCTCGATGGGATCAGGTTTGTTTAAACTGAGTTTTAACCAATGGGACATTGAATAAGTAAGTATTATACTGTGGGACAGGGCAGCTTCTTGCTGGGCTGTGAAGGAGTGAGGGTCTCGAGGAGCCAGCATGGTGTTGGGGGTGCGTGGTGAGGCTTACATTCTCTTGCTGCACCTGATAGCTCTCCTATGACATTGCCAGTACTCGCCCCAATTAACCCTTGAGGAAACCGGGGTTTAGGAGATTGAACTTCATGTTGGTTCTGTGTGAAAATGCTCAGGTTCAAGAGCAGTTCTGACTTCTGTATCTATATTTTTAGGAAGGGAGGGAGGAAAAGAGGAAGGAGGAAGGAGGTCGTAGGGGTGAGGGGACGGCCTCTGGAGGCTGGGGCCGGGTACCTGGCATAGCCCATCTGCCCACAGGCTGTCTTGGCCAGAGCTTCTGTGAAGTTGTCAAAGCAGGCAGAGGCCCAGCTCCGTGTGGCTGGGTCCAGCACTTGCAGGGTGGATCGGTCCCTGGAGAGGCGGACTTAGAGAGGAAAAACCTGGGTCAGTTCCAGGGCAGGGATCTGTCTGGCCCATCTCCCTCAGAATTCATCATGGGACCAGCACAACCTCCCTACGCCCAGACCGTAGAGCACTACAGAAAACCAACCCTTTCAATTTCAAAGGATGTTCTTCTGTTTGGCTTTGCCTGATTGAGCCTCATTTTGATGGTAGCTAGGGTGACCAGATGTCCTGGAAGGAACCTCCTTGTGGACCTCTTGTCTTGGTAGAATTACCAGCAGCTCTCCATTTTATTCTTACAGATACCAGTTTTGGTGATCTATGGTGACTCTACCCATGGTCCTCATGGCCTGCCTAGCCTGGGGGACTTCTCACTGAGGAACCTAGCTTCCTTTTGACGTGAGGAAAGAGGTTGAGAGGGAAGTATTATTGGCAGTAGGATGGCCGGTGCCCAGAGGCATTTGACTTCTGATTAAAAAAAAAAAAAAAAAAAAAAAAGGATATGTGCAGGAAGTCACTTAGTCCTGCCTGTCAAAACCCCCCAACACCCATCTCCTGGCTGTCTTTTCACTCCAGAGCCCCAGTACTAGGTGAATGAAGCTGGGCCAGCCCCATCTGAGAAAGAACATGAGTTTTTGTTGGAAACCTCTTCTAGTCCTTTGAAGGACCTAGCTCGGTCTTGTTACATAGCAGGCTACAATAAATACCTAATGGATAGAAGGATCAATAGTTAATGGCCTGACACCCACTTTTCTAGTCCCCTTGAAAGAACAGATGTCATAGAAAGGAGGGAACTCCCCAGCGTTATCCAATCCAGCTGTCTGCCTCAGTTCCATCCCAGTGTAGCAGAACGAGGCAGGCTATGTTACAATTTCCTGTCCCTTCTAGCCCGCATCTGTTCCTCATATTCACCGAGTATTTGCTCCGTGTTAAGTACTGGGAATCTAGTCCTGTTGCTCTTACGAACCTTGCAGTAGGGATGGAAACTGACCGGTCAGTTGGCAGATGCTGTGCCTTGAACTGGGGCGGGGGGACCTAAGCTGGTTTCCTGCTGTGCCCTCCCCGCTGGTCCCTCCAGCCCCTGGACTCACCTGCCACTGGGGACCCATCAGGGAAGGTCTTGACACAGTGCTGCTCGTCCTCCCCAGAGGCACAGTCCTGCTGGCCATCACACACTTGCCTCCTCAAGATGAAGTGGAGAGGCTGCCCGCAGAGGAAGTAGTATTTGTCCAGAATCACCTTGACTGGAAGGCAGGGGCAGGGAGAGGGCAGAGAGGACTGACCGTGAAGCAGGCAGCCCTGGCGGGGGTGGGGGATGGGATAGGCTGTGTTTCCCTGAAACACTGGGCTTCAAAATAGGCAGGTGAGGGTTCCAGACCCAGTGATGCCACTTGATAGCCTGGGTACGTAGTCCTGAGCCTCCGTTTCTGTCTCTGTAAAGTAATGCCTGTCCCATACCTATATGGTGTGAAGCGAGAGAATGTGTGGGAGAAACTTTTAAACAGCCCCACTGGCCTCATCCTCCCGGTGCTGGCACAGTACCTCTGGTAACGAGCACAAAAGATGAGAGTGCTGGCCCTGCTGCCTCCCCTGTGACTTTAGACCTATCACATCCTCTCCCAGGGCCTCAGTTTTCTCAGCTGTACAGTGGGGTGAGGTGGTTGAGAACGTTCTGTTAGCTGGTGGCCGTGAGGGTCTTGTAACTACCAAGTGCAGTTCTAGACTGGGTGTTTTTTATCTGGGGCTGAAAGAGCCACGGAGGGGCTGGTGTTTTGTTGGGTTTTGTCTCCTCCCTGCTGCTTTCAGATTCTGTTCTCCTTTGCTGCCTTGGCTAATGGGAATGAGTCTAGTGTTTGTGACTCCTCAGGCAATGAATACTTCACATTTCTAAAGGCTCCTGGTAGGAAGAGACCCTCCTGCCCAACTGACCCTACCCTTGGCCCCAAGCTCCCTCCTGTCTTCCAGTGTTGCCCCTGCCTAGCCACCCTACAGGTGATGGCGAGAAGTCTGACCGTGGCCTCACTGCTCACTGTGGGAAGCTTCCCGTGCACTGCCTTGTGTCATCCTGACGACGACCTGAGGAGGCAGGTGTTGTGATTAACTCACATTATGGGGGGTTTACAGAGTTGGGGTTTAATTCCCCAGGCCACCCAGCACTTCTGTGTAGAGCCAGGATTCCAGTCAGGGTCTGTCTAACCCCAAAGCTCTTTGCTGCCTCTCCATGCCTTCCCTGAGGGGCTTTGAGTTGGGGTCTGCTGGCCTGGATGCCCTGGGTGTGAGGGAGCATGGGAGAAGGAGCAGGCTGGATCTTTCCTAGACCTTCAGAGTTTGGTTCATGGTCAGGGCCCAGGGTAGAGCAGGGTCATTCTAGCCTCTTGATGACAGTGTCCTCGGTTGAGATCCCAGAAGCCAAAAAGTTGAGGGAACCTTGCCTGGGAGGGAGGCTCAGATGACCTCCTCTGGTTGCAGAACCCGGGGGACCACAGCATGGAAGCCATGTCACAGGGCCTAGTGGGTTGGGGAGACCTCAGTTCTAAATTGCGCAGCACTCCTGCCCAGGCATGCCTGGATGACTCTGGCCCCTTTCTCTCTCTCCAGTGTGGCCAGGCATATGCTCAGAGAAAGCCAGCTCTCCTCTGTATTAGCGTGAATAGAACAGGCTTAGGACAGCTGCTCTGCTGCTGCTGCAGACCCAGGGCCAAGGGCCGGCCAAGGTCCCGAAGAAATGCGCAAGCTCTCAGGGGTGGGGTGTGGGTAGTGTTTGTGTTGTGGATCTGCATTTCTTTGCCACAGATGGAAAAGGACTTGCTCCGTCTGGGTCCCGGGGTCCCGTTCCAGCTGTCTCTAAGTGTCAGGCCTCCTCTCTGAGCCCCGATGCTCAAGTGGAGGAGGAGGGTGTGGGCCCAGTGATCGCCGAGTGGTGGTGGTCGCTGCTAGTGGAAATGCCACTCTGGCTGTGAGTGCAGGCTCCTGAAGGGCCCATCCTCCCTGGGTTAGCAAACGTGTGCTTTTGTGTATGGCTCTGTCACATCTTTGCACCCTGTCTGGTGACCAACACTTTGGCACCACCTGATTTTCATCTGGGTGTTTTACTCACATTATCTCCCACATCCCTCTGGGAGAGACAGGATGTTTTACAGAGGAGAAGACTAAAGTTGAGAGCGGTCAAAGGACTTACTCAAGGTCACACGGCAGCAAGGGGTGTCCTGACTGCTAGCCTGGTCTGCTGTGCCCTGCTCCCCATCCTGAGAGAGCAGTCAGTAGCCTGCTGTTACTGTGGCGGTGGGGGGAGGCAAGGACAGTCGGCGGTGGAGTGGGAGTGGAGACCGGGATGGTGGGCATGGCAGGTCATTCAGTTCAGTCTTCGTTACTGAATGGCCTGCCAGAGATCACACTGGGTCTCGGGCACTGGCCAAGAGGAAGACAGCTACAGGCAGTGTGTGTGTGTGTGTGTGTGTGTGTGTGTGTGCGCGCGCGTGTGTGTGTGTGCGCGCGCGCGCGCGCTGTCTGCCTGGGTGGCTTCCCCTGTGCCTCCTGTGTGAGTCCCTGCCTCAAAGGTGAAAGGACTCCCCAGTCTTCTAGCCGTTAGGGCTGCTTAGGTGTCTGTAGGCACCTGACTAAGGAGGCAGGGTCGTGGCCGCCCTGGCCCATTGCCTGTGTGGGTTTGTACATATGCAGCTGTGCGTTCCCGGTGGTAGAGTTCATCTGGGGTAGGTGGGGGCTGCATTCACCTCTTCCTTTGACTCTTGGAGGAAGGCTCCCTTCAGAGCGGGGGGGTAGACAGGTATCACGCAAAGCTTTGTGCAGCTCAGCTGTCTGTGGCTGCTAGGTGGAAGGGTGGCGGGTAAGGTTGTGCTCAGAGGGGCAGGTGGGAGCTGCAATTTCCTGTGGGGGATGAGGGGGAGGTGGGGGCAGTCATGAGGGGATGAGGGCAGGGCTGGGGGCTGCCACTTACTGAGGACAGCCATGATGATGATGGTCGCCAGGCTCAGCAGCGCTGCGATGATTGGGATCCCCACCTTTTTGAAGGTCTCCAGGGGAGGAGTTCGGGGTTTGCGCAGGGGGGTGACATCTGTGAGGCAGAGGGACAGAGTCTGCTGTTAGCACTTGGAGATCGCCCCCGCCAAGGCTCACAGCCTACCTGCCCTCTGGCCATGGGGCTGAGTCGCAGAATGCTTTGGGGACAGTTTTGCTTAGCCCTGGGGTTTTATTCCTGCAGACTGGGCTTAGCTTCAACAGCTCAAGGTCACCCCACCTCCTTCGCTTATCCAGGCTTGTCCATCTTTCACCTGTGTCCCCCAGAGGAGCCTCCGGAACAAGATGTTGTCTCTTTGTCTTGACTTAGCCTATTCCACAGTGTTTCACCCTGTCTGGTCTGCCCTGCATCTGCCTGGGGAGAGGCAAGTACTTATTTATTTTACTATCATTTATCCTCTTTTCTGACTAACCTTTAGTTAAACTGTAAGCTTGAGGAGGGCAGGGACCTCTAACTCATTCCATGCTTAGTAGAGCCCTGATACGTGCTTGCAGTTGAGCACATCCTGACGGCCTCCATCTCCAACTCAACAGATAGGGAGTCCCTAGGATGGTCCTCGTCTTTAAGGAGATGCCAGTTTGGGGGAAGAAGCACACAAGGACAGAGTTGCCACTACCTCTGGATGCCATCAAAACACTTAAATGGGCCTCCGTAGGTGGTGATGCGGTGGGGGGGCTGGACCAGCTGGGCAGAGGGCTGGGGGTGTCGACGGTGAGCTTGTCGTGTGCCCCAGATGTAACATGGGCAGGTACGTGTTACGGAGGCAGGACTGGCAGTGTCGGTCCACAGAGAGTCTTGAACACCATGCCGGGAATTTGGATTTTATCATGAAGGCAATATGGAGCTATGGACAGCTTTGAGCAGCAGAGAGATGTGATCGTTTTCATATTCAGGAAGGTGAATCATTCACTGGGGAGGAGGTGGATGGAAACAAGTTTGGGGTTAGGGTGACCAGGTAGGAGCCTAGAGGTGCCTAAAACAGAGCTAATAATAACTATATTGTCTATTCATATGGTTATCCAAGGAGATGGTACCGGGGCCAGGATCTGAAAAGTTAAATTCTCAGGAAGTATCTGAGATGTGTCCTCTGGGATCCTCTCTCCTTGCAGGCAGTAAGCCGGGGCGGGTGCCCGGGGCTTCTCCAGGGTGAGCTAGGGCAGGAAGTCTGGCTGCCTTGAGTCCAGGGAGGGTGATAGGTCAGCTCTCTTCTCCTCACCTCCCTGTAGCTTGGTCTGTCACCTTCCTGACCTCCCTTTTTGAACGGTAATCTTCCAGTGTTACCTGTCCTCCTCCTGCATTTTTAAAAACACTTACCAGCTCTTTACATACTTTATATTTTACATATTATATGTATTTTCCATCCCCTCCTGTCTCTTTCTGAAACGAAGACTTTGAAGTTAAGGAATTTTTCTTCTTCTTTTTTTCTTCTTGTTCACTGCTGAATCCCAGGTGTCTTCAACAAGTATCTGCTGAGTGAATACATGCATCGCTCTTTGCTTGATCTCTTAAGCACATCCTTCCCATTTTTGTTCCGGGTCTGGTTTCCTGGCTCGAGTGAGGGCTGGTGATAGTCTGTCTCGAGCTCTTTCCTCAGCTCTTCAAGAGCAGAGAATGGCATCCAGCCAGAGACGGGTGCTCAGGAAATGCTGATATCATTGAATCTGTTGAAAGGGAAAGCATCGGAAACCTTGTGTCTCCTCAGAAGGAGACACAAAACTCAGGCCCGCGGGGCGTGGGCTGGTGTTGCCTGTCCTGAGCAGGCACCAGGGAACTTCTCAGTCTTAGCAGGTATTTCTTGAAGTTTCCAGCAGTTAGAGTGCAGAGCTCTCCTCTTCCCCGTGACCGTGGACATGGTGACATTCTGTTCATCCCTCCTTCATGCGTGATTTATTTATTGAGCGCCTTCTGCTCGGGACACGAGGTGGCTTATTTCCTCAGAGGTGCCTCAACTCTTGGGAGCCCCTTGATAGATTCCCCTGTCCAGGTCCCTATGTCTCTGCCTCCCTGATGTGCTCAGGGAGAACAGCATCAGGAAGGGTAGAGTTTTCTGGGTTTACATTTCATATGTAAAGTTGTCAAAGCACCATGAGCTATGACGAGCCTCCCGGCCTGCCACCATTCCTTCCTGCAGCTGGTCCTGCCCACCACGGCAGGACAGCACCTCCCAGCACATTGCTGTCATCCGGTCACATCCCCGCCTGAGAACCCTCCATGACTTCTGGATCTAGACCACTCTCTTCTCCAGACTTGCAAAGCCAGCATGATCTGGGGCCACATGGACTTCCCACTTGCCAGTCCTCAGTGCTACACGGACAGTTTCTGCCCTGGTCCTTGCACACCTGCCTTCATTCCTGCCTCTGAACCTTTGCTCCTGCTCTTCCCTTCACCACTGAAACCCTCATCACTTCCTTCTGTTTTGTGATAGCTTACTCCTGTGGGGACTTTGTCAGAGCATGCCTGATCCATGAAGCTGTTATTTCGGATCATTTGGCGCGGATCGCTCCTTCTCAAGCTTCCCTCAATGCGGGCATTGGTAGCAAATCTAACTTGTTTTCTGGTTTGGTGGTTCTCAGGGTTACTCAGGTGGTGGAGCCCTTGGATGTCTGGTGTTCTCTGGGATCACGGGGGTCTATCATTCTGTCAAATTCCAGAGTATAAACCAGGCTTCATCTTACTTGCGGAAGATTACATCATTTGTGATCATTATTAAAGTGGGGTCCTGAAATTGTTGCAGTAAGCGGGATAGTATGACACATTCCTTGTGGATCTGTCATACTATTTTGTGCTTTGCTCACTTGTCTGCTGGATCCAGCAGGCTATTGGGAGTGGTTCTCATTGGTCTAACAAAATAGAATGGGAGGGCGGAAAAAAATCCCTTAAATTTGGGAACGCTTTGTCTCTTAAATGATTCTTCTCCCGTAAATCAGGCAAATACTATCATTTTCTAGTCTGCCAGGGAAAATACCTTTGTCCAGCTTGTTCCATGGCAGCAGGTCAGACTGGCAACTCTGGGAGGGCAGGGACTCTGTCTTAACCTCCTGTTTTAGTCCAGTGTCTAGCCCAGACCCTGGCACGTGGCAGGCACTCACAGAGTTGTTGAATGAATAAGAAAGTGAGTAACTGAATGAATGAGTTGGAGGACCACCGCTCTTGGGGTTTTAGGTTTGATGGTCCTATTTCCTTGGAGACCATGCTTCCTACTTCTAGAATTATCCTGGACCTTAGAGTTGCTTAATACATTTTTGTTGATGGATGAATGAGTGGGTGGATGGAGATCTTCCATAGTGTTTAGCCCTCAGTGGTGGTGGTGAGGGGGTACAAGAGGGGGATAGTATTTATTTAGTAACTGACTGAAACTTGGAGGCTGACGTAGACAAGGCAAAGCTGGACCTGAGCTTACCAAGGCTGTTCAGGGGTTGGTCGCTGTCAGGATCCTGTAATTGAAGGAAAAACAATCTGTGAGCGGAGAGAGGGAACCTCTCAGGCTGAGGCTGAAGGCTCAGGACAGGCTCTTGGTTCTTATTTGCATCCCCTTCTCCCCGCTGAGTCAAAGTTGGGGGCTCAGTGATACCTCACTGGTTCTCAGTTATATGTCTTTATTACGTGGTACAACTAGCTTACTAATTGTAGCAGCTAGTTAGCAATTATGGAAATGATAGCCTGCTGGGTTGTTGTGTTGCCAGGTTACTTAGGATGATTCTGTCCTGCCGTCTGTTTTGGTTAACCATTTGCCTACTTTGATAGATTTAATTCTGTAAAAACCTGGACACTTCACAAAAGGGGGTACTTCAATAGCCACTCAGGGCCAAAAGATGCTCAATGTCATGGCTCACCAGGCAAATGCAGATTCACACCACAATGAGACATCTCTGCAGAGACATCAGAATGACTAAAATTAAAAAGACTGATAATACTAAGTGTTGAAGAGGATGTGGACTATTGGGACTCTTATACACTGTTGTCAGGAGTGTAAATCAGTACAGGTACTTTGGATCTGCTAAATCTGACTATGTGACTATTCTAGGATTCTATGACCCAGGAATTAGCCAGGAGAAATGAGTGCGTGTGTCTAGCGAAATATCTGTACAGAGATGTTGGTAGTAACTGCATTCCTAATAGCTACAAATCGGAAAAACCCAAATGTCCATCAGTGGTGGAGTAGATAAATAAGTTGTGGTATATTTATATGATGGAATATATTTCGACAACAAACATAACCTAGTGCTAAGTGCAGTGACCTATGGACTGATCTCACAGACATAGCAGTGACAGAAACTGGCGCAAAAGAGTGTACTCTGTGTCTTTCATATATATAGATTTTAAAAGGTGAAGTTGACCTATCGCGATACAAGTCAGAATATTGATTACCACTGGCTGGGGAAGTGGGGCAGTTATTGGCAGCAGCACAATGGAAACTTCTGGAATGCTGGAAAACTTACAGATCTTTATCTAAGTGTTGATTACATGGGGGCACGTATGTTTAATATTCACTGGGGGGTACACTTTAGATTTGAGCACTTTACTAAATACATGTTATTTTTGTTTACAAAAATACATGTTGTTATTGTTTAACAGCAAACAAAGACAAAACGTTACCAGAGCACTACGGTGTTTCTGTAAGTGTACTCTTAGGTCACCATGGACACACATACACGAACACAAGCCTCTGTTCTTCCAGTTACACTGCTGCATGTGTACATTCAGCACACTCACAGCCACATAGGGTCGTACCCAGAAGCCGTGCATACAAGGCTCACATATGAAGTCCATTCACCCCTTTCCTGCAAAGCAGAGGATAAGGGGAGGGGACTGCCAAGGCTCATGTCTCACTCTTGTGCCTCCCAGAAAGCTCTCTTCTCTTAGCTTCCTTTCCAGTCACTACAAGAGCTAGAGTCCCGGGGCTGGGTGAGCAGCAGGCCTGCCTGGGGTCTGGGTCTCCATCCCAGGACTCGTCTGCCTGTGGTGCTGAGGTCATGATGGTTCCACTGGTAGGTGGAGGAGCTGGAGGACTCTGAATGTTTCCACCTGGGAATTTTCCTAGTCCCATTTGGGGGTGATGGGCTTCATCTAACCTCTGGGTGGGTGTCCCAGATTAGGTATGGTTAGCAGCAGTGGGAGAGGGGGATGTCCCTGGATGTTTGTTTCCTTGGCTGAGTGTGGCAGACATAGCCATTGGGAGAGGGAGCTCCTTTCTTTCCTCCCAAACTCTGTAATCTGCCGGAGGGACGTGCCTGGCTTTGCCCTTTGGTGGCATGAGGCCTTGGGTGGCTGAGGGATGTCACAAAGGCAGCAGGCTCTGGAGTCTGCAGAGTTGGAATATAGGTTCTGCGTCTCAGTTGTGAGTCTTGGGTGTGATATAGTTAAGCTCTCTGAGCTTCATGTTCCCCCTCTGTAAAGTGGGGAAGGTGGCACTGGCTTCAGAGTGCTACCATGAGGTTTAGGTGAGCTATGTAGTGGGACGGCATGGCTCACACAGGTGCACTGCACTCCCTGCACTCCCAGGGTCTCCCAGCATTCGCTGCAGAACTTTCCCACTGGGCAGTCATCCTTGTTTCTTGTGGCGTTTGCACCCTCAGAGTTTTGCGTTGGGCTCGTACCCAGGAAAGACCAGAGAGATGTTGTTAAATGGAACTGGACTCTGGGCTCTGCCCTGTGGGTCATTCCTAGTCCCCTGTCCTCTGCCATCTCCAGGGCCTGGAGGGGGGACTGTTTCCAGGGTAAAGATGAGAACAAGTCCTACAACACTGCATTGCTGTGGCTGCCAGGTTGGGTAATAATAGTATCAATAGTACTTAATCTACCTACAGTCACTGTGTAAGAGTTTACCAGATTCTTTTGTCTGACTCGGTCAGGTTCAGGGTTGAAAAGGATCCCAATTGTCTGATAACCAGTAGGGGTGGCATTAAGTAATTAAGTATTCAATGAACTATTTGACAAGGCCCTGCTCTGGGAGCTGTGCATTCAAAGACAAATACTAAGTGCATTAGGATGGCAGAGTTGCCCAGACAGGCCATGCTGGGCCCTGCCCTCACCTCTGGCGGCTGGGGAGTGGGGGAAGGAGGGAAAGACAGGTGTGAGCCGAAAAAGCTGGAGCAATGAGCGCCATGTAGAGTGAAGCGGCAATGGGAGCCAGTGCCTGGTGGATACTTAGAGCCGGAGGCTTAGGGAAGGGGCCAGGGTGGTTAGATCTCGGCCTGTGGGCTGAGATCTGAATGCCAGTGGGGGAAGGAGAGAACCTGGTATTGGAGGGACAGAATAAAGACCAGCAAGGACAGGAGGAAGGAGAAGGAGGCTGGTGGTTGGGAAAGATACCCATGCTTGGAAGGTCTAAGCAGCAGGGCTTACCAACTGACTGGATGCTCTTGGGTTTCATGGAGCAGGTAGGAGGGTATTTGCTGAGGGGTGAAGGCTGCGAGAGGGGCAGGTTGGAGGGGTGTCAGGAACAGCCACTGAGTGGCCCTTTCCCAGCAATTCATTCTTTCTCGCTGAGTCTGCTTGTGCTCACATGCCTGCATTAGTTGAGGTAGGTAGGGCGAGTCTCTTGTTTATTATTAATTCAGCAAATATTGACTGTATGCTTTCGATGGGCGTGGCGTGATGCTGGAGACCGAGACACAGAGGGAACAAAAGAGGCTTAAAGCCCACACTTTCTTGATTCCTCATCTGTGAACAGGAGTGACCTCAGTACCCCTTTAGCGAATATGTTTTCGATTGTGATCCACTGAATAGGGCTTACACAGAAAACATTCCCACACCGTTTTGAAAACAGAGAAAATAAACTACATCAAAACTACAAGCTACAATGACTGTGACAAATTGGTAATTCATCATCCCTGGTGTCTCCTACAAGACCTGGCCCAGAGTGGGTATTTATTTATTTTAAAAAAGATTTTATTTGAGAGAGAGAGAGTGAGAGAGAGAACATGAGCATGAGTGGGGGGAGCAGCAAGGGAGAGGGAGAAGCAGGTTCCCTGCTGAGCACAGAGCCCGGTGCAGGGCTCGATCCCAGGACCCTGAGATCATGACCTGAGCTGAAGTCAGATGCTTAACTGACTGAGCCACCCAGGTGTCCCCAGAGTAGGTATTTAATATTTGTTGAGTGAAAGAATTAAGGAGAATGTCTTGGTTTCAGGGCTCAGTCCCAGGCCAGCCTTGAAGAAGCTGACTCGTACATCCATTCACACATTGGAATATTATGCTGCAGTCAAAACAAATGAGCTATGGCACCACGAAATCCCGTGGATGACATTAGTAATTTAACATTAAAGTAAAAAGCAAATCCCTGGAAGATTGCGTGTAACACAGAATCTTTTCCATAAGGAACTAGGAAATGATAAACATGGGGTTTAAGTTGAGGCTTATTTTCCAGGGAGCTTCTAGCACATTTCCTGGCCTGGCAAAGATGTAGAATCAATATTTGTTGAATTCCTAAACCTGAGAGACTTGCCCAGCACCCTCAGCAGGACTGGGGCTGTGGGGTGTGGGTGGGAGGGCAGGAGATCTCCTGGTTAGATGCAGCGCTTGTTTGGGGCGGTGAATTAGGAAGGCTTACTACATTGTTAAAGCCTCTAACCAGCTAGAGAGATACAAGGGGGCCCTGCGTGGGCCAACAGAGGAAAATGTCATGGATCCAGGATTATGATTCATCCAGTAGTGTGCCCCTGAGGTTCAAAGAGAAAAAAAAAAAGCAGTCTCCTGGCTGTGCTGAGGGGTCCAAAGAGTCAAGCTCCTATCCTCCCATCCTCCCATGCTCTACTCTGACTCTCATGCTGCCTGAGTTCTTCTGTCAAGTGGCCTGCTCTTTGGCTTTCTTGACACCTTTCTGACAAACATCTCCAACACAGTGAGATTAGACATGATGGGTTGCCAAACTTCTGGGAAGAGGAGCTGTGGAAGGTCACAAGCCTCCAGGGTCATGGGCAGGGAGGGTGGGTACATTGAGGTTTATGAGCGGGGACTGGGGAATATTAGTATCAGTTACCTTCCTGAGCAGGGTGGGGACGGAAATGCATAGCAGCTGTGTTGCCTTTCAGCCCAGAATTCATCCCAAGTCAGGGGGGGGGGGGGGGGGGGGAGATGGGGCTGAGAGATGAGGTAAGAATCTTACCAGATAATGTTCAGGAACCTGGCTATCCCCCATCCCTGGGTGAGTTCATGCCATGATCATGGGAGGCAAAGGGTCTCTGGGGACCATTCCAGGCAACTTCCTAGTTTCCTAGACCAGGGAAATGCTTAGCCCTAGAGTTGGTAGAGGGAAGGCGCTTGAGAGACCACGAAACACCCACTGTGCACCTCCTGCTTTGTTGGAGGTGTCTCAGTGTATCCCCAACTTGAACTCAGCCCCTGGCCACAGCTGCCACAGCCTAAGCCTAGCCCAGGCCCAGCCAAGGCACCAGGCTTTCCTGTGTTGTTGGGTTGCTGGCTGGGTCAGGCC